AAATATCAGTGATAACTGCTTGTAGAAAAACGTGCACCTGACACGCTCCAGTAAATTTTTTTCATCGATAAAGGAAAGGCATAATAAACTGTAATATGTACAAATTCTTAATTTGTAGTTGTTACGATTTCGATAATATAACGTAAGGCTGACAACAAGCAAAGACATTAGAAAAATAGCTTGCGTTTATAGAGTATTCATTATCTAAACCAATTTTTACCGCGTCGACGTTTCTTCAACTAATCATTCCTCCTACGATTTTTGAGTCACGTTTTGATGTACATCAGTTAGTGCAGAGTTTGTGAGTTAACGCACACTTTTCAGTCGCATCATGCGTTTTTTTTATATGAAAAAAAAAACAATAATGACGAGCTCTATCTGAGATAACACGAAAGCGAGAGTGATATGTCGAACACGTTCAACAGTTTACATTCTATACTTCATCACAAGAAGAGAAAAAAGTTTCACTTTTGTGGTGTATTTGTGCGATTGTGTTTGGAGTGTTAGGCATACGAAACGGTCAAACTGTATTTTTACAGTCTTTGTTCGGTGGTTTTACAAGGTTCAGTAATAATTTCAACGTATTGGTGTTGTTCTTTTTTATCTTGTTTTATTGCTACATTAAGGAGTTTTATAATAAAGATATCAACATAAAATATATGATAGCTTTTGAAACTGGTGGGTTGAGCTTGCACTGATCAAGCACATTATATAGATAGGCCCTCGGTTCTTCTCTTGGCAATATTCTACCTGGATCAATCATAACAATCACTTCGCCTATCACAGTACGTCAGTTTGTTAGAAAGAAAAACGAGCCCATTCGTTCCTCTCTCTAGCTTTCCCTACTATCATATTCCTCAGTTTTCCTTACACTGAACTTTCTTACTCATGTCCTGGTCATCAGGGTGATAACACAGCTCATAAACTTGCTTAAATGGTTACTGAACATTTCGGAAAGCCTTGTAACAAACGATTGGCCTCAAGGAAGAAGCACTCAACGGATGTCTCGTCCAATTAAGCCTTTCTCAATAGACCCAGAGAGTCTTACTGTCCTTCCTCTATTTTATTTCTATCTTCTCCACAGAGTATTGCTCCATAACTCCGTGAGAGTTTTATTTATCATCTGATTGTGGTAACATTTACTGTGTGGTTGTTTCTCGATAAGATCTATGACAAGTGTGATGGACGACCGGCTAGTAACGCTCTTGGGAGAATAATTATTGAACATAAAATTATTTGTGTGTTTTTTCTCTAAGTCTGTTTCTCAGAATTTTCTTTCTTCTCGTATTTCAAAGTTCGATGCTTTGCTGCTTACCAAAGTGATATGAATCAATAAATTTATGCAGTCAACTATATAAATATAATCCGGTATTCCAGCTTTTAATTGACTGAGCATGTCACTGTTTTTCTGGTTTTGTTTACTCTCCTATTTATATGTTTAATTTCCTATAGCGAAACTTTTGTTTACTAATATGCTTTTGATAAGTACTGTTTTGCCCCCACTCTCGGAGATTTAGCTGTAGGCTTGAGGGCTTATGACGGTAAAAATCGGGATTCAATACTCTCTGTGGGAAGAGCGCAGATGGCTCATTGTGTGTAGCTTTTGAACCTAATGAGATTTTCTTGTTTTATCATGTGATCTGATTATATATATATATAATCGCTGTATGGTACGTGCTGTTTTTACAAGTCGTCAATAACACGTCACGTGATTTTATAGCATCTTTTATAAGTTTTAGAAGAAAAGTCATAAACTATAAATAATGATCTGTCCATAAACAGTCTAAATGTATCAATCTTTATTTAGGTTTCGCTTAAACATGCACACACAATGTACATTTAAGTAGCCCTGATGTGCCAAAAACATTTCAAAACTTTTTAAACGGATTACTTCATAAAAAATTATATTATTTTCCAGTATAAAGACTATTAACTGCATTTTAGGTACACTTAATTAGAGTGCAGATGACGTGCTTGATAGTATATGATAGAATAAGAGAGATAACAAGTTAGAATGGTATATGATAGAATAAGAGAGACAACAAGTTAGAATGGTATATGATAGAATAGGAGAGATAACAAGTTAGAATGGTATATGATAGAATGAGAGAGAGAGAACAATTTAAAATGATATATGATAGAATAAGAGAGATAACAAGTTAGAATGGTATATGATAGAATAAGAGAGAGAAGAAGTTAGAATGGTATATGATAGAATAAGAGAGAGAACAATTTAAAATGGTATATGATAGAATGAGAGAGAGAGAACAATTTAAAATGGTATATGATAGAATGAGAGAGAGATAACAAGTTAGAATGGTATATGATAGAATAAGAGAGATA